CCGACAGAACCCAGAACACCTCACTTAATCATTTCTATACCGTGCCCATTTATTACTAATCCTGAGCTCTGGGGCACAGTAAACTCTAGTCCAAAGTGAATCTGTGCAGACTTCTGGCCAAGATGGAGATGTAGGTGGATACACTTTGCCTCCTTGAACAACCAAAAGAAGGACAACATAATTTAAAAACAAAAAATAACAAGAACTGCCAGAAAATTGAACCTTGTGGAAGTCTGACAACCAAGGAGTTGAAGAAGGAACATCCATACAGACCACTAGAAGGGACAGAGATGGGCAGATGGAGTGGAGAGGACATGCAGCAAGGCAGTGGCTGGAAGACCAAGTGAGGTAGCCGCTGGCAGAGTGAGCAGTCCCACAATTGCATGCAGATAAACCAGGAGGAACAACTGGGGAGTGAGACAGACAGCACAACCCAGGGTTCCAGTGTGGGGAAATAAAGACTCAAAACCTCTTAACTGAAAAAATCTGTGGGGGCAGAGGGAGCAGGAGAAACTCCCAGCCTCACTGGAGAGTTCATTGGAGAGACCCATAGGATGCTAGAAATACATAAAACCACCCACCTGAGAATTAGCACCAGAAGGGCCCAATTTGCTTGTGGGTAGCAGAGGAAGTGACTGGAAGCCCACTGAGACCTGAGCAAACAGCATTGTTCCCTCTTGGACCCCTCTCCCACATACAGCACCACAACATAAGAATATGGATTGCCCTGTCCAGGCAAATACCTAAGGCTCAGTCCCTTACTACATAATAGGCACAATGAGACAAAAAAAATATGGCCCAAATGAAAGAACAGATCAAAGCTCCAGAAGAAAAATACAACTAAGTGATGATGAGGTAACCAACCTATTCAGATGCAGAGTTCAAAACACTGGTAATCAAGATACTCACAGAAATGGGTGAGTATGGTCACAAAATAGAGGAAGAAGTGAAGGCTACGCAAAGTGAAATAAAAGAAAATGTACAGGGAGCCAAGAGTGATGGGAAGGAAACCAGGATTCAAATCAACGATTTGGAGCAGAAATGAGAAATAAACATTCAACCAGGAGAGAATGATGAAATAAGATTTTAAAAACTGAGGACAGGCTTAGGAACTTCCAAGAAAATTTTAAACGATTCAACATCCAAATCATTAGAGTACCAGAAGGAGAAGAGGAAGAGCAATAAATTGAAAACTTAGTTGAAAAAATATTGAAGGAAAACTCCCCTAATATGGCAAAAAAAAATGGTTTCTAGGAAGTCCAAGAAGCTCAGAGAGTCCCAAAGAAGTTGGACCCAAGAAAGCACACTCCAAGGCACATCATAATTCATTGCCCAAAATTAAAGATAAGAAGAGAATCTTAAAAGCAGCAAGAGAAAAGGAGACAGTTACCTACAAAAGAGTTCCCATAAGACTGTTAGCTGATTTTTCAAAAGAAACCCCTGCTAGCAAGAAGGGGGTGGAAAGGAGTATTTGTGGCCATGAAAGGGAAGGACCTACATCCAAGATTACTCTGTCCAGCAAAGCTATCATTTAGAATGGGAAGGCAGATAAAGTGCTTCCCAGATAAGGTCAAGTTAAAGGAGTTCATCATCACCAAGCCCTTGTTTTATGAAATGTTAAAGGGACTTAATCAAAGAAAAAGAAGATGATCAAAAATATGAACAGTAAAATGACAACAAACTTGCAACTATCAACAACTGAACCTAAAAAAACAAAACCAAAAATGGACTAAAAAAAAACAACCTAGAATAGGAACAGATTCACAGAAACAGAGATCACGTGGAGGGTTGTAGGTAGGGAGAAGGAGGGGGAACATGGGGGAAAAGGTACAGAGAATAAGAAGCATAAATGGTGGGTACAAAATAGACAGGGAGAGGTTAAGAATAGGACAGGAAATGGAGAAGCCAAAAACCTATATGTATGACCCATGGACATGAAAGAAGGTAGGGAATGCTGATGGGAGGGGGCTACAAGGTGGAGGGGAATAAAGGGAAGAAAAAATGAAACAAGTGTAATAGCATAATCAATAAAATATATTTTTAAAACAGAAAGTGAATCTGTGCAGGTTGAGAGATAACAAGAGGCTGAGATGATCCAAGGAGGAGACAGGAACCTGGCAGACTTGAGTCCGAGCTCATGACATGACCGTGTGAAAGTTACAGTCTGAGAAGTGGGGCATCAGGGAGCACAGACCCCAGGAGGGAGGCTCGTGTCTCCCCAGGTCGTCACTCATTCCCTCATGTCATGATCCTCAGGGGCAGCCGACAGCATCAGCCCATCACAGAACAAGTCAGAACACCTCAGGTCCTGCTGTTTCAGCCTCTGAACATTGAGAGGAGGGCCCACACTGCAGCCAGGACGTGAACACAGAGGGGACAGGGCATCATTCAGAGAGGCAGTTCATGAAGCTCATCTGATGACCCAGGAGGTGGTGAAGCACATTGTGACCACAGGTGGGAAACTGTCTGCTGATATGTCTGGGAGAACAGACAAGGCCGGTGAGATTTGAGGACAGGAAGCATGAGCCATGCTCCTGTGGAGACGTCTCCTCCCTCCCACTGTGGGGCTGTCCCTCCTCATCCTCACTGACTCCCCTTGACTGTCCCTCTGTTCTACCACTGTGACCTGAGGGGCCACCCAAATGGCTGGTTTGGGTTCACGTCTACACACCCCTTCATTTTGGATCCCACTCATATAAACAAATCTGGTGTCTTCGTAACCCTGGAGTTCTTTTTTAAAAAGAATTTATTTATTTATTTTTAGAGAGAGAGGAAAGGAATGAGCAAGAGAGGGAGAGAAACATCAATGTATGTTTGCATCTCCCACATCTCCCACTGGGGGCCCGGCCTGCCACCCAGGCATGTGCCCTAGACTGGAAATCAAACCAGAAACCCCTTGGTTCACAGGCCTGCATTCAATCCTCTGTGCTACATCAGCCAAGGCTGGAGTTCTTTTTTTATGCCATAAAAACAATATACTGACACTTGCTACCTGGTGGGTGAACATCAACATTCTGCAGCTAAGTGACAGAAGTCAGAGAGAAAAGATCACATTTTCTGTGACTGCGTTTGTACGAAGTGTCCAGGAGGAGGAAACCCACAGAGACAGGAGTCAGGTGGGCTTGTCGGGGGCTGACGAGGAGGAGAGATGGGAGACTGACAGCATCATGTAATTTGCGATGTAGTTACACAAATTCCTTATTAAAACAACATTAAAGTTCTGGTTGAACCCTGTGTATTGACTACATATCAGTGAATTCTACATTTTTAAAGGCTCAATTCTATGTTATGTGATTTTACTGCATTAAAAAGAAATGCAAATCAATAGCCATGGTCCCCTGTGGATCCTTTTTGCCTTACAAGTGGCCCCACGTCCCCAGGCAGTTTCATGAGAGACAGGACTCCCACCAGGTCAGAGGTTCCCAGGGCTCAGGCTCAGCCCCTGGTGGGACTCCCACCCTCACTCCTGAGTGTGGTGAGTTTAGGATCCAGGATGAGCAATGTCCTTCCTGTCTCCTCTCAGTCTGGGCTCACCTGCCAATCAACCAAGGATGCCTTGTAGCTTCTGATGCCCCCTGAGAGCTTAGAGGATTTGTATGTGGCTTCCAAGTAGCCCTTCCTCCCACAACTCTTTCAAACCTGTGTCTTAATCAGAACCCAGAAATCACACAGAGGGAACCTGTTCAGGTCTCAGGCTCTGCTGATCCTCACAACCATGAGAGGTGAGTTATCACCCTTGTCTGCAGTGAGGGAAAAGGGAGAAAGGAAGTGACTGGCTCAGAACCAAAGGTCAATAATACTTCCCCCTGTCTTAGATTAAAACCTGTGAGTAGTTTGCAACTGCTACGTTTGCTCAGCTTATGGACACAGAGTGACCAGTGTCAGATGCAGAGTTATCCCTCACAGAGCAGGGCAGTGAGGAGGCAGACATGCTCAGGGGCCTGCATGGGAGGGATGGAGAGAAGGTCTCCTGCTCATAGAGATGAGGAAGTCTGAGATGGGAAGTGTGAGGCAGAAATCAAACCACACACATGGCCAGGAGGGCAGGTGGCTCTCACTGTGGATCAGGTGACCTTGTTGTAATCCTCTCCCCATGCCTCTTGCCCTTCAGTGGGTGGTCAGTCTGCAGACAGTCCCATTGGCTGCCCAGGCCACCCAGGCAGAGAGCTGATGTGCCCTCAGCTCTTCCCTCTCTTCCCCCCACCCAATGAACACACCCACAGCTCTGACCCTGAGAGCCTGTTTTTGTGACCCAGTTCCCCTCCACAGTCACACTCAGGTGAAGACCCAAGACATCCGAGTGGATGCAAACCCATCATCCTCTGCTCTGGCCTCCTGTGGACCCCAACTCCCAGTTGAGGGGTTTACTCCCATGGACCTGAACTTACCTGTCACAGGTCCTCCCTGCACAAAGTCTTTCCACAGGTCTCCACCTCACTCCAGCACACCCAAGGAGCCCCACCTAATGGTCCATGTTGTTGGAGATCAGGCTGAGCTAAACTCTCCATCCCCAGCAGAGCCAAGTCTTTCCTACAAACCAGACCCTTCCCAGTGCCCACCTCCCCTCCCCAGACTCACACACCTGGGTCATGGCCACACTGGGCTTGTCGTGGGCACCCCCTGAGCCAGTCTGCTCTGTGCAGACTCCACTGCACACCTCCTAGACCAAAAAACACAAAGAAGACTTCCAGCACTTCTCACTCAACTCTACGCACACTTTTGTGTTAGGGATTGCTTAAGATTTCATAAGAAATCCTCACAAACCACTTAGAATGCTGATTAACTCATCAACGGGTATCCTATGGTATTGGAGTTTTATCACCGTTTATTATCCACAAATCTCACTGCAGTCTATTCCCACACAGTGGTATCTTCTGAACACACCAATCTGCTCGCACATTTTTTTTACTGAATTCTTTTCTGTAACTTTAAAGATCAAACCCAACAGTCCCTGTAGGGAACAGAGGCCCCATGTGACCAGGGCACCACATACCTTGGTGACTCACAGCTCTTAGAATAATCACCCTCTTTCTGGTCCATGGTGATGTCCTCTCACCCCCTGGGCTTGTCCTGTGCTGGACAAGGCACCTGCTCAGTCAACATCAGCCAGATGCCAGAATAGAGAAAGGCTGAAAGAAACTTTGCATTTATGTTGTCTCAGGAAAGGAAATGAATGCCCATGGTTACGTGAGTTCTAGAAAAGGCAGAGTCAGAACTGCAACAGAAATTGGGCTGCTCCTGTGTTCTACCCAGCATCCTCTGCCCTCATGCTGAGGTGTTACTCTCTGGACTTTAGTGTCACATGACGTGGAGGCAGTGCGTGTGGCGTCTGCTGAGACTCAGAGGTCTTCTGAAAAGTCCCAGAACCTGCTGTCTCCTCCACTACCTTCCAGGGAGGGCAGATGGCGGCTGAGTAAGAACTGAGACTTGTCACACGGAACTACACCCCATGGGTCTGTCTGTCCTGCTGAGCTGTGGACATTGTACGTCATCTGCACCACTGGGAACCCTGGAAGACAGCATTATGACCCTGACCTTCATCACTCTTCTCGGTCTTGGTGAGTTTTGGCAAAAACAGAGGGATGGGGTACCCTTCCCTCCCAGGTCTGCTCCCTCGAAAAGCCCTGGGACTGAGGAGGCTCAGTGGGTCAGACCCCCTGGTGAACAGAGAAGTGCCTCAACCCCACGTGTGACCCCAGTGCTCAGGGGCCCAGGACAGGCCTGGAGCTTGTGTGTGGGGGGTGAAGGATAACTCACAGGAACTCTCTTCCAGGGCTGTGTTGGGGCCCGTGGGACCAGGTCCAGGCAGGTGAGTCCTCCCCCAGAGCTCCTGCTTCAGCACAATGATGCCCCTGGGCAGCTGGGGGACACACAGTGGGTCTTGGCTGGTGGTGACCAGTGTGGGAGGGGTCTTGGAGTGAAAGCTGGGGAAACTGAGGGGAAAAGGGCACCCTCTGACACTGCAGGTCTGATTCCTTTCCAGGACTCCCCCCCAAACCCTCCATCTGGGCTGACCCAGGCCCCAGGGTCAGCAAGGGGAGCCCTGTGACCATCTGGTGTCAGGGATCTCTGCCGGCGGATCGCTACAGTCTGTATAAAGAAAGGGGCTTTCAGCCCTTGGATACAAGGATCCCACAGGCCTCCAGCAACAAGGCAGGGTTCCCCATTAAGTCCATGAGCCCCAACAGTGCAGGGAGATACCGCTGTGCATATTCCAGCTCCAGACACTGGTCCGAGCGGAGTGACCCCCTGTCGCTGGTGATGACAGGTGAGAGGGTGGAACTGAGTCCCCTACTCACAGAAAGGAAGATCAGAGTGTGGCTGCAGGGAGACCTCGCCCCTCACAGCCCACACCTGGGGAAGGTGCAGTCATTGTCTCACATTTAACACAGATCTTTCCTTCTCCCTCAGGAGAGTACAGTGCACCCTCCCTCTCAGCACACCCAGGCCCAGTGGTGGCCTCAGGGGGGAGAGTGTCCCTCTTCTGTATCTCAAAGGACACATCGGGCCCTTTCCACCTGCTGAAGGAGGGAGGGGCTGAGCAACTCCAACACAGGAAATCAGACCAGAGATCCTATGCTGGGACATGGCAGGCTGTCTTCCCTGTGGGCCCCGTGAGCTCCTCCCATGGGGGGACCTACAGATGCTATGGTTCCTCCAGCTCCAACCCCAATGTGTGGTCACAGCCCAGTGCTGCTCTGCACCTCGAGGTCACAGGTGAGGTGGCCCACACTTGGCTTCAATTCTTTCTTGTGCCCAAATAACTGATCTAAACCTTGTGATTAAAAGGCTTGAGGTCACTGGGATTTGTGACATGGGCTTGTTGGAGACAGAACCACAGGGAGGAGACTTAGGGAGGCACAAATGACAGCTCTCCCTGCAGCCCCCATGGATAGTGTGTGTGTGTCCCCTGGGTGACAATGACCTTCTCCACAGGTGTGTATAGGGAGCCCTCCCTGTCAGCCCAGCCAGGCCCCCTGGTGCTGCCTGGAGAAAGCCTGACCCTCCAGTGTCACTCAGAGCCCGGCTTTCACAGATTCGCTCTGACCAAGGATGAGGGGACCACACCCCCTCAGAGTCTCCATGGGAAGCACAGCCCCAACTTCCCCCTGGGCCCTGTGAACCTTACCCACGGGGGCCAGTACAGGTGCTACAGTGGACACAACCTCTCCTATGTGTGGTCAGCCCCCAGCCCACCCCTGGACATCCTGATTACAGGTAAGGAGCCCTGCCCTGCCCCCTATCCTGACTGTCTTCCTTGGGGCTCTGGCCCAGGGTCACCACTGTGCTGATGGGATCCAGGTGAGTGTCCTGGAGTAGAGGCTGAGAGGGGCTGAGGTCTAGGGCAAGGGAATGAGGGGCATAAAGATGAAAGGCACCGACTCAGAGGGACTGAGAGGAGCTGACAGAGGGAGTGAGCAGCCCTGCAGAAGGACATGGCCCATCAGCTCACAGTCAAGTTCGTGGGGGTAGCAATGACTCTGCACATCACAGCCCTCCTCTCCCCAGGAATATACGAGAAACCCTCCCTCTCAGCACAGCCAGGGCCCTCAGTGCCCTGGGGAGCAAACGTGACCCTGCAGTGTGGATCTGAGGTCAAGGCTGACACCTTCCACCTGCACAGGGAGGGGTCCCTGGATCCTCCCCAGTGGCTTCATCTGCAGGACACGGCTGGCCCCTCTCAGGCCAACTTCACCATCAGCCCTGTGACCTGGAGCCACAATGGGACCTACAGGTGCTACAGCTCACACAGCTCATCCCCCTTCCAGCTGTCACAGCCCAGTGACCCCCTGGAGCTCCTGGTCTCAGGTGAGGATCCCCAGCCCCTCCACTGCATCCTCATGGTCAGGTCAGACCCTGTCCCCACAGGACCTTTAGGCCAGATATGGAGTGAGGGGGTCACCAAAGGAGTGCCAGGATGAGCAGACTCTTACCTACTGGGGGGATGGAAAAGCCAGCACCACCCCACCCCTGCCTCATCATCCTCTGCATCCCTGGGGCCCAGACAGGTTCTGGGGACAAGGGAGGCTCTAGAGGCTTTGGGCTGAGCAAAGGGAGGAAAGGCCAGGGGCACCCATCCCGATCCCCCACCCTCTGCAGCACCCATGGCCTCACCCAGAGAGACCAGGATGAGCATGGGGACTAGCAGAGGCCTTGCTCCCAGAGAGAACCAGACAACCTGTTCTGGAACCTTGTCTCCCTGGAGGTCTGCGAGCCTGGCAGTGATGCAGGGGGGATCACGGGCCCTCCAGGGCTGTGTGGCAGGCAGATGATGGGTGGGAAGGGTCTTAGCAGAGGGAAATGCTGTGGTTCCCACCCAGGGCAGGGGCAGCCAGGCTCAAGTGGGGAGAAGGCAGCCCCCACCCCTCACCCCCAACCTGAATTTCCAGAAGGCTCTGAGTATCTGCCCCTCCCTACCACGGAGTCAGGACCACAGAGTGGTAAGTCAGGGTCTCTGTGGGGAGGTGGAGGGTGTGTCCTGGGGGGACAGGGGCTGAGTCCTGAGGAAGTTCAGGCTCCTCTGGAGGCTCTGACTTGGACATGCCCTTCCCCTCTCTGTGCATCAGTGTCTCCAAGTGTAAAAGGAGAGAATTGTGGCTCAGAGCTTCTTCTTTGGTTTTTTTTTTTTAATCTTTCAGTTGTGGCTCTGACCTCCAGGGAGGGTGGTCTGACAGGGAAGCACCCCAGGACATGATGTTATGGAGTCTGTCCCCTCTGTAGCAGTGATGGTGACATGGTACAGGGAGGGGCATGCAGAACAAGGGCCTGAGACATCCAGGTCCTCTCCCTCAGCCCCCAGACTCACCTCAGAGCAGGGAACAAGGGCTGGAGTCAGACATGGTTCAGGTGCCGGCTCTGTTGCTCCTGCTATGGGGCCAGGTGTTCCCTTGTCTTCTCTGAGTGTTGGGTTCCTGTCTGTCCATCCCTGGTCCCCTCTTGCTCACAGGGCTGCAGTGACACTAGGTGATGTAAGGGGCCTCACAGAGCTCAGGAAGGCAGAGCCCCAGCCCAGCCCCACCATCCCAAGTGTGCATCAGGGTTCACCCCATGCCTGCCCACCTATATCCCTGCTGTGCTGGGGACAGGTAATAAGAAGGACCCTCAGCTCCAGGTGAGACAGGACAGACCCCTGCAGATGAGGAACCCAAAGCTTAGTGCTGGTGTCCACCTGGGGGCAGCATGAGGACAACAATGGGAACTCACATCCTGGGGTCCAGTCCCAGCCCTGCCCTGGCCAGGCTGGGTGACCTGGGGAATGTGGCTAACCTCTCTGAGTCACAGTGAACTGGGTGGTGGGTCAGCCATCCTGGGTGCACAAGGGCTGTGAGGTTAGAGAAGATGATTGACAGACCCCAGCATTTGCCTTGCACACTGTAGGTGCTCATTAAATGGCACCATTGGCTCATTCATGATGTCACTCCAGCCGAAGGTCTCCAACGGTCCCTGAACGTACTGACTGGGGTGTCAGTGACCCTCCTCCTCCTCCTCTCCCTCTTCCTCTTCTTCCTCCTCCGACACCAAAATCAGAGCAAAGACAGGACATCGGGTGAGTAGGGAACGGGGTGACCTGAGCCACAGGAGAGAAGGGCTCAGAGCACCTGCTACAGGAGAAACAAATAGATGGGGAAGGTCATCTGAGAAACAGATTTCTCCCGAATCTCACATCAGAAATTCTGGAAAGATTGCACTTAATTTCAATACATGTATATAAAATAAGGTAATTTTTCATAGTTTTCAATCTCCTGAAATATGAAATGTACGCACAAGTGTGTTAAAGTTTCCACCTTTAACCTGCAATCACATGGGGAGGGGCCCCTACACTCCTTGGGCTGTGACTCTCCCTCTTGACCAGCCCAGAGAAAAGCTGATATCTGACCTCCTTCAGGGGCCACAGACCCGGAGCCCAAGGATAGGGGCCTGCACCCCAGGTAATTCCTGCCCCAAAGACCCCAGATCCCCACCCACACAGGACCTACTCTGCCCCTAACTCCCTGTCTCCTCCCCCAGATCCAACCCAGCTGTGGACACCCAGGAAGAGCCCCTCTGTGAGAGGAAGGGACAGCTGCCCTAGGGAGGGGGCACAGGGATTTCAGGAAGCAATGGGGGAGGGGACAGCCTGGAAGGCTGTGGGGGTCAGGGGTGAGAGAGACTGAAAACCACACTGGGTGACCAGGCCCCTCACCTCACCCCTGGGTTAGTGACCCATCTGGGAGTTGGCGGGTCTGTAGCCCTGAGATCTCAGGGACCATGACAGGAGACACTCCCTGTTCTGCCCCAGCAGATGCTGCCATGAAGGATCCACAGCCCAGGGAGAGAGTGGTGCTGGACCCACAGGTGAGACCCCTGCTCCTTTCCAAAACACCAAGGACCTTTGTTTCACCCAGTTTATTCCAATGGTCACTTCCCTGTCCACCTCACCTGTATCTCAGCAGCGTCCACACTGACCTCTCCTTAAGGGCACCAGGTCATTCTGCTGTGACTCATTCCCATACCTTCCCTGTGTCCTCATCACCCCTCCTGGGTGATCCTCTCTGCTGGCCACTCACCCTCTATCTGACCTTGTGCAGCCCCAGGTCTCAGGAGGAGGCATGAATGAGTGAACCATCTGCAGGTCCTAGGGTCCCGTCACTCACTCACTCAGCAGCTGTGATGGGAGCTCACTGGTTACGAGCACAATGTCAGTGCCACAGTGCCACCCTGAGCAGCCTGTCCCCACACTCCTTGAGCTCATCTGTGTGTGAGGGAGACAGCTGCAAACAGGCAGATGGCATCCTGGAGAGCCAAGTGCTGTGAAGGGGAATGAAGTAAAACCAGAGAACAGTGTGTGATGAGGGGAGAGAACAGAGAAAACAGCAGGTGCAAAGGTTGAGGCAGGACCTGCTGCTTCAGGCAGATGGGCCCTGTGGCTGTAGCTGAATCGACAACAGACAGAGCGTTAGGTTAAGAGTCAGATCCATAGAAGCACCAGGAGTCCCAAGGCTGAGGGCGTCCCTGCAGACTCCATCAGGAGAGTGACCTCATGTGATCTGAAGTTTAAGTCGTCACTCTGACACCATGTGGACACGTGATGAGGGTTTCAACTGTGGGGTCAACACACTGTTTCTGTCTCACTGTCTCTCTACAGCAGAACAGGACCCATGACAACTCCCAGAGAGAGACCTATGCCCTGGTGACCCTCTCAACATCAAGGCAGATTCAGGGAATGGTCCCTTCTCCTTCCCCCCTGTCAGAGGAATTGCTGGACAGGAAGGGCAGACAAGTAGAAGAAAACAGGCAGATGGACAGTCAGGTGGGTTCTGTCCTCCCCAGACCCCAGGCTTCCCCAACCCCAACCACCTTTCACCCCTCTCACTGTCCCCCTGCTCCAGGCTGCTGCATCTGAAGACTCCCAGGACTTAACCTACGCCCAGCTGAACCTCTTGACGCCCAAGTGGGAGACAAGTACTCCCCTGTCCTCCCCATCAGAGAAGCCCCCCGATGAGCCCAGTGTGTACGCTGCTCTGTCCTTCCACTAGCCCAGGGAGGACCCTGATCACACACTCCAGGGAGGGGGCCTGCAGGAACCCCAGAAGCCATAGGAGCCACCAAAAGGACACTCACTAGTGGCCCCAGCCACCCTGAGGACCTGACATGGACCCCCAGCAGCTTCTGGGACCCTCTGGGAGTCCCCTGATTCTGCAATCACAGATAAGTAATATCCCTATACTTTGGAATCAAAGCAACAGACTTCTCAAGAATCAATGTGTGAATTTAGAACCAAAACGGAAGTGAAAGAATGCTTCCAATGAATGATAGTGTAAATACTACATATTAAACCTACAAGATGGAACATTAACAACCATGAATGAACATCTTAGAGAAGATAAAGGCTAAGACACAGAAACCACCTAAGTGTCCTCCCACATGTGCTGAGATGAAGGTGTGGCAACCTGTGTGATGGAGTGTCACTAGGCCACAGAGATGAAATCCTGTCAGTGTGGCGACATGGAGGCATCGTGAGCATGTCATGCTACGTGGGGTAAGTCGGACCCCACAGCACAAGGACTGTACAACTTCACTCCTATGTGGGTGAGATCTGAAACTCTGCACTGTCGTATGTATTAACTATATTGACCTTGTAATTAAAAATTTTCCTGCAGAGTGAACCTGGAGTCTGAGAAGTTTCCCTGGCAAATGCTTCACAACACTCATGCATGTGTGAAACACACACATATAGGAACATACACACAACAGCCTTACACAAGCCTCTCCTAAGAGTAAAGGAGGAAGGCACACACCCCAGCACAATTTATCAGGCCAGAAATAAATTGATGATGAAACCAAATGAGGGAGCTACCAAGAGGGGACCTCACAGGAAGCTCTCTCACGTGAACTCAGGTGCAGCGTCCTAAACAAAGTATCACCAAGATGCATCAAAGCATAAACTGTGTCATCCATCCCGACCAGGCAGGTATCTGATTTCAGGAATGCAGGGTGGTTTCATATGTTTAAAAAATCAATCAGTAGAATTCAAATATTAAAAGTAATAGCAAAAAATAAAAATAAAAAGAGATTATTGACAGATGCAAAACTTCTGTTGAAATACGGCACCAACTTACAGTGAAACCCTCTTCAGAAATAAAAGAGATTTTCTATCATTTTTCAAAGCAACTTTCAAATAAAGGAAATAATGCTTAAAAAAAATAACTTGAAAGCGTTTTGACTGTGATTGAGCCTGGGGCAAACACCCTCAGTGTCGAGCTGAGCCTGCCCACAGCCTCGCTATGCCAAACACCTGCGTGTTTTGGCAGCCCGGCCCTTTGCCCAGGTTCTGCTGGTGGAGCAGGAGCCGCTCTGCGAAGGAGAAGTGACACCCCCACCCCCATTGCCTTCCTCTGCCTGTCAGAGGAGCCCGCCCACCCCGGGCCCCGCCCAGATACAGGCCCCGCCCAGCGGCCATGATCCAGAGCAGTTAGGCCCTGCATAGCCCCAGCTATGGGGCAGGACCCACCCCCACCTTTGCTTCAGATCCCACTCCCACACCTGCCCCTGCACCTGTACCTCCAGCGTCCACCACAGCATCTTCTGATCCAACACCTGCTGGTGCAACCAAGCAGGAGAACCAGTGGGAACTCCCATCAACAGACAGGACTTCCAGACTTTCTTCCCCGTCAAACTGTTTGAAGATGTAACAAGTGTGCTTGTGACAGGTCAGTCCTCTGAGAATATGGTCACTGAGATTCTGTCGATGGGCTATGAACCAGGGTAAGTGACGGCAGCCTGGGGAGCAAGGGTCAATGACCCAGACAGCCACACTATATCTTTAAAGAGAACCCCAGAGACAGAGAAAGTCAGGGTGTGCTTGCTCCCCCTCCAGCAGCTAGTTCTAGGGCTCCTCAGCTCAGGGCGCTGTCCCTGCAGAGTCTGAGACAGTAATACATGAGGGGACCCAGGGGGTTTACACAGACAGGACACTCAGGAGCCCCTGACACCAGCCCCTCCCCTGTGCACCCTGGGCTCCCAGCTGTTGAGTTCCTGAGGTCTCTGAGCTGTAGAACAAGTTCATGAGATCTGCGCCTCCTACTAAAAGCAGAACACACAGCTCCTACTTATTTCTGGATGGAGACCATTTTCATCCCTGCCACCTGGTGGGTGAACATCAACATTCTGCAGCTAAGTGACAGAAGTCAGAGAGAAAAGATCATGTTTTCTGTGACTGCGTTTGTATGAAGTGTCCAGGAAGAGGAAACACACAGAGACAGGAGTCAGGTGGGCTTGTCAGGGGCTGACGAGGAGGAGAGATGGGAGACTGACAGCTATGTGATATGTGGGTGAGTTGTTAGACACACTTCTTATTAAAACCAGATAAAATTGTGGTTCAGACTCTGTATATTGGATTCTAGTAAATTCCATATTTGAAAAGGCTCCATCTATGTTACAGGAACATATCTCATTTAAATTAAATGCAAGTCAGTTGCCATGGTTCTCTGTGGATCCTTTTTGCATTAGAAGTGTCCCCATGTCCCCAGGCAGTTTCAAGAGAGACGGGACTCCCACCAGGTCAGAAGCTCCCAGTGCTCAGGCTCAGCCCCTGCAGGGATTCCCGCCCTCACTCCTGAGTGTGGTGAGTCCAGGATCCAGGATGACCAGCGTCCTTCCTGTCTCCTCTCAGTCTGGGTTCACCTGCCATTCAGCCCAGGATGCTTTGTAGCTTGTGATGCCCCCTGAGGGCTAGGAGGGGATATATACATGGCTGCGAAGTAGCCCTTCTTCCCTCAAGTCTCTCAAGCCTGTGTCTTAATCAGGCCCAGAAGTGACACAAATGGAGCCTCTCCATGTCTCAGGCTCTGCTGATCCTCACAACACCCGTGAGAGCTGAGCTTCCACCCTTGTCTGCAGTGAGGGCAAAGGGAGAGGGGAAGGGACTGGCTCAGAACAGACTGTCAATAATGTTTCCCCTTGTCTTACATTAAAACCTGTGAATTGTCTGCAACTGGTGCTTCTGCCCAGCACATAGAGACAGAGTGACCAGTGTCAGATGCAGGGTCACCCCTCACAGAGCAGGGCAGTGAGGAGGCAGAGATGCTCAGGGGCCTGGATGGGAGGGATGGAGAGAAGGTCTCCTGTTCACAGAGATGAGGAAGTCACAGAGAGGAAGTGAGAGGAAGAGACCGAACCACACAACTGCACCAGGAGGGTGGGTGGATCTCTCTGTGAGTCAGGGGATTGTTTCATAACCCACTCCCCATGAATCCTGCCCCTCACTGGGGTGGACAGTCCTGGGACAGCTCCATGTGCTCCCCAGGCACCCAGGCAGGAAGTGGATGAACCCTCAGCTCTTCCTTCTCTTCTCCTGAAATGATGAACACACTCACAGCTCTGACCCCAAGTCCCTGTATCTGCAACACAGTTCCCCTCCACAGTCACACTCACATGAAGACCCAGGACATCATGGGGGTGTGACCCCATCAGCCTCCTCTCTGGCCTCACTGTGGACCCGCACTCCCAACTGAGAGTTTTACTCCCATGGACCTGAAATTACCTGTCATAGACCCTCCCTGCACAAAGTCTTTCCACAGGTCTCCACCTCACTCCAGCCCACCCAAGTAGCTCCACCTAATGCTCCATGTTGTTGGACATGAGGCTGAGCTAAACTCTCCATCCCAAGCAGAGCCAACTGGTCCCTACAAAACAGACCCTTCCCAGTGCCCACCTCCCCTCCCCAGACTCACACACCTGGGTCATGGACACACTGGGCTTGTCATGGGTGTCCCCTGAGTCCATCGAAACAGAGCACACTCTCTGCACAACTCCTAGACTGAGATAATGACAAAGATACATTCCCACCTCTTCTCACTCAGCTTCAATCATATTTGTGTTATGGGGTTTCTGTTTGGATTTCATGAGAAATTCTCATAAACCACAGAGAGTACTGAGCAGCTCATTACCTCAGTGTTACATTAGTGCTGGAGTTTTATCACAGTTCATCATCCATTCCTCACTCCTATAGCCCATTCCCACAGAACACCATCTTCTCAAAGCAGCAACCTGCTCACACCTTCCTTTACTGAAAAGTGTTCCATTTTCTGAAAGATCAAACCCAGGAGTCCCTGCAGGGAGCAGAGGCTCCATGGGACCAGGGCCCAGCACAGCCTGGTGACTCACAGCTCCTAGAATACTCACCCTCTTCCTGGTCGAGGGTCCTCTCAACCCCCTGTGCTGACCCCTAGTGTGTCCTGGTCCCTCCCTCACCTGCAGGTCCCCACACTCCATGACATCCACCTATATTCAGTCGCAGTGCTCCATTCTTCTCCTTCTCTGAAACTTACCAAAACAAGACCCACGTCATCTGTTGCCTAAATAATGCCACTGTCTAATGTCACTAAACAACACAGGTGTGCCCATGGGAAATCGGACACTTCCCCTAATGAACCTCATGCCTGGACTGGGCACCTGCTCAGGAAACATGGGCCAGATACTGGGATTGACAAAGGATGGAGGAAAATTTGCATTTACATTGTCTCAAAAAAAGGAAGTGAATTGCCCAAGGTCACACTGGTTTCTGAAGAGGCAGAGTCAGAACTGGAACAGAAACTGGGCTGCTCCTGGGAGCTGCCTGGCGCCCCCTAACCTCATGATCCAGAGGTGTCACCCTCTGGATCTGTGTGTTGCATGAGGTGAAGGCAGTGTGTGCAGGGTCTGCTGAGACTCAGATCTGGTCTGAAAGGTCCCAGATCCTGCTGTCTCCTCGACCATACAGGCAATACAGATTGCAGATGCAGAGGAAACTGAGTTTTCTCACAGAGCTGGGATCTTGTCACACCCTGTGTCTGTCTATGCAGCTGGGCCCTGTGGACTTCATGCATCATCTGCCCCACAGGGGACCCTGGGAGACACGTCATGACACTGACCTTCATTGCCCTTCTCTGTCTTGGTGAGTTTTGGGGAAAAGAGAGGAAAGGGTGCCCTCCCCTGCCAGGTCTAGGACCCAGGAGGCTCAATGGGGACAGGACTCCAAGGGGAAGGAAAAGTGGCTCAGGGGCCCAGACCAGGCCTGGAACTTCTGTGGGTGGAGTGAGAGGTAATCTCACAGGATTCTCTCTCAGGGCTGTGCCAGGGCCCATGGGACCAGCTCCAGGCAAGTGAGTCCTCCCCCAGACCTCCTGCTTCAGCACAATGATGCCCCTGGGCAGCTGGGGGACACACAATGGGTCTGGGCTGATGCTGACCAGTGTAGGAGGGGCCTTCGAGTGACAGCTGGGGAAACTGAGGGGACAAGAACACCCCTTGTACTTGCAGGTCTGATTCCTTTCCAGGAGTTCTCCCCAAACCCCACGTCTGGGCTGACCAAGGCCCCATGGTCAGCAAGGGGAGCCCTGTGACCATCTGGTGTCAGGGGTCTCTGCAGGCAGATGGCTACATCCTGTATAAAGAGAGGGGCTCTCAGCCCTTGGATACAAGGATCCCACAGACCTCCAGCAACAAGACTGGGTTCCTCATTCAGTCCATGAGCTCACAGAACACAGGGCTGTACCAGTGTGCATACAGCACTGGGGACACACTGTCTGAGAGGAGTGAGCCCCTGCTCCTGGTGATGACAGGTAAGGGGGAAACTGGGTCTCCTCCCCACTGTGGGCTCCTCCTCAGAGGATGAAGAGGACAGAGTTTGGCTTAGGAGGACCTCACCCCTCACAACTCACTCCTGGGGAAGGTGGGGTGATGGTCCCCTTTAACTCAGATCCTCCTTCTCCCTCAGGAGTGGACAGCACACCCTCCCTCTCAGCCCACCCAGGCCCGGTGGTGGCCTCAGGAGAGAACGTGTCCCTCTTGTGCAGCTCACAGTCCACATGGGACACTTTCCACCTGCTGAAGGAGGGAGGGGCTGAGCCCCCCCAACAAAGGAAATTGGAGCAGAGATCCTACAATGGGAGCTGGCAGGCTGTCTTCCCTATGGGACCAGTGAGCTCCTTCCATGGGGGGACCTACAGATATTATGTTTCATCCAGCTCCAACCCCAATGTGTGGTCACAGCCCAATGGCCCTCTGCACCTTGAGGTCACAGGTGAGGCAGCCAACACTTGGCCTCAATTCTTTCCTGTGCCCCAAATAACTGACCTAAAC